ACTGCTTGGCAACACCCTAATAACCACCCAGAATACCCTAGCAACACCCTGGCAACCACCCATAACACTTTAGTTCTGAAAAGCAACACACTAGCAACCATCCAGAACAGCAACTGCACAGCAATGCCCTAGCAACCACTCAGAGCACGATATAAACTGCTTGGCAACACCCTAATAACCACCCAGAATACCCTAGCAACACCCTGGCAACCACCCATAACACTTTAGTTCTGAAAAGCAACACACTAGCAACCATCCAGAACAGCAACTGCACAGCAATGCCCTAGCAACCACTCAGAGCACGATATAAACTGCTTGGCAACACCCTAATAACCACCCAGAATACCCTAGCAACACCCTGGCAACCACCCATAACACTTTAGTTCTGAAAAGCAACACACTAGCAACCATCCAGAACAGCAACTGCACAGCAATGCCCTAGCAACCACTCAGAGCACGATATAAACTGCTTGGCAACACCCTAATAACCACCCAGAATACCCTAGCAACACCCTGGCAACCACCCATAACACTTTAGTTCTGAAAAGCAACACACTAGCAACCATCCAGAACAGCAACTGCACAGCAATGCCCTAGCAACCACTCAGAGCACGATATAAACTGCTTGGCAACACCCTAATAACCACCCAGAATACCCTAGCAACACCCTGGCAACCACCCATAACACTTTAGTTCTGAAAAGCAACACACTAGCAACCATCCAGAACAGCAACTGCACAGCAATGCCCTAGCAACCACTCAGAGCACGATATAAACTGCTTGGCAACACCCTAATAACCACCCAGAATACCCTAGCAACACCCTGGCAACCACCCATAACACTTTAGTTCTGAAAAGCAACACACTAGCAACCATCCAGAACAGCAACTGCACAGCAATGCCCTAGCAACCACTCAGAGCACGATATAAACTGCTTGGCAACACCCTAATAACCACCCAGAATACCCTAGCAACACCCTGGCAACCACCCATAACACTTTAGTTCTGAAAAGCAACACACTAGCAACCATCCAGAACAGCAACTGCACAGCAATGCCCTAGCAACCACTCAGAGCACGATATAAACTGCTTGGCAACACCCTAATAACCACCCAGAATACCCTAGCAACACCCTGGCAACCACCCATAACACTTTAGTTCTGAAAAGCAACACACTAGCAACCATCCAGAACAGCAACTGCACAGCAATGCCCTAGCAACCACTCAGAGCACGATATAAACTGCTTGGCAACACCCTAATAACCACCCAGAATACCCTAGCAACACCCTGGCAACCACCCATAACACTTTAGTTCTGAAAAGCAACACACTAGCAACCATCCAGAACAGCAACTGCACAGCAATGCCCTAGCAACCACTCAGAGCACGATATAAACTGCTTGGCAACACCCTAATAACCACCCAGAATACCCTAGCAACACCCTGGCAACCACCCATAACACTTTAGTTCTGAAAAGCAACACACTAGC